GTCCAGTTCACTTACAAGAAAATGGATCGCCATCAATTACATACTAGTGAAATTAAATCAACAATGAATATCACCTTGAAACACAATCAAATTTCGATAACCGCTGTAAAACCTCGTTAGCCTTTGCATAATCACTGATTAAACATAATATCAGCGTTCAACAAACGTAATAATTCTCTGATCTGACACTTAACATTTCACCAGCAAAAACACCTAAACAAAACAGCAACACCCAAACCAAAGCACCAATTATTTGCTTGACTTGGAGTCCGGTATGTTTTCATACCACCCAAGCTGCTAGCAAACACTCAGTTCACCCTCAAAATACGTCCGGTGGTCAGTGATCTCAGCCCTATCCACCGCCGGTCCCTCGTGGTTCACATCAAACGCCCCGGGCACTCGCTCGTCCACCGGCTATCTCCAGCGGTCAGCAGCGTCTGACTCACGTGCTGGTCATGGAGGCGACCTGTCGCCTTTCGAGGGTGAGCTGTCACCTATTCACCGTTACCGTAGACTGCGTATTTAGCATTGCACACCTGTGTAACATCGTGACCGGTCCACATCCGATGCCGATGCCGCGTCCAACCACCGATCATTCGATGCCATGCGGTTATCTGCTTTCCGGCTGACTCATATGCTCACTGACACCGTGTCAATCGCGGCAATATAGCGACACGGTGTCAGTCGCAACGACACCACGACACCGTGTCAGCGTCAGCGTCACGATGACCACCGCTGTTTATTTCACCTGTCGCGCTCGTATCACTGCCATCACGACCCGGTCCGAAAATACACCCGGCTGGGGAGTACAGAAAAAATACACCCGACTGGGTAGTATCAGATACCTCGGGGGACCGGGGCGGCGCAGGACCTGCCCCATGTCAGCACCACCAGCACCGTTAGCCACTGACGACCGAACACGACAGACCCTGAACACGACACATCTGAACGGCCGATCGGGCTGTCACCCATGAGGCGCCACAACCGGCGCAGCCACCCGCATGTGAAGGGCAACACGAAACGGAAGCTTCTGTTTGGGGTGCGATCCGCCTCACCAACACCGATCACAAGGCTATTATGCGATATGTCGTGCATTTATGTCATTCAGTACCTTCTCATGAAAGTGATTTCGGTGACCACTGGAATTTTAACCGGTGTGTGTTGCCGATGTCGCGTGGGGTGGTTGTGAGCTATCCGGCGATCTCTGTCACTGTCATCGCCTGTCAGTGACAGATCTGTCCGGGTGACAGGCGGGAGGCGATGATAATCGGCGCCACCAGACTGCTGGAAAACGGCCGTCCAGGTGCCAAACCACACGGTCACGGCTGAATCACCGACCGCACCGTCAACAAGCGCTGTTTTCCCGGGCTCAGGAACGAGGCGCGCACCTCCAGACAGGCGCCAGCGCGCCAGACAGTTCATGAGCAAGGTGTGCACTGTGCATCATCAGACGCCAAGAGGTCAAAAGCACCACCTTACGGCATGGTTAAACCACCCCGTAACAACTTATCAAAACATAAACTACAAAAAAAAAACGCAAGACACTAAAAAAACATACATAATCCCGGTTCGCAAAACTGATCGTCTGATAGATAGCCACGGTAGCTTCTATTTTAACAAAATACATCAGCGGCGACTAAAAACCACTGCCAAGTTTCCGGAATCCAACAAAAAAAGGTCGAGCATGCTGCCAAGCTACCTAGCCCGCTTAGCTGTATCTGAGCCGAGTCGAGCTGAGCTGGACTGATGAGCCGGGAAGCCCGACCTTCACTGAGGCCGGAGATGACTAAACGGCCGCCGCGGTGAGCCGTCCGTGACGTCACACACGAACACAGGAATACATTACGGTCCGGACGGGAATCTACGTGTAATGGACGTGCTAGTGTCCAGGTAGAGATAGTGTTACGCACTCTCTGCCTCTCATGCTACGGAAAATTATTATAGCGAGCTACAAAACAGCCCATTCACAGATAAAATATCGATGCGATGTTTGCAAGTCTGGGTAGATAAGCCACTAAAAAACTCATTGTTATTAATCAAAATCCAACCTCAAACTAACGAGCTTATGCTGTGATCTGCTAATTTGCTAACTAATTAGCAGTGTTTCAGTGCCCGAAAAGTCGAAACTGATGTAGAATGTGCCGCTAACTGACATATCTGCATTCTGCAAGCACGTCTCCAAGATTTGTTTTAACCTAACCATCCAGACATTCTTTCCGCTTCGGTCGCGCGCCGAGACACGCAGTCTCGCCCTGCCGTCTTCGTGCCACGCCGTGCCGTCTCCTTCCGACGCCGCGCTGGCTCATCGCGCCGCCCGGCGGAAGGGAGCGAGACCGACACCTCTATCTGTGGCTACCGTCCGCACCGCCGACACTGCTGTCCTCACCGGAACACAGCTTCCGACCGCCAGCGAGCATCGCGAGTCGCAACATCCGACGTTCGCGACGGACGGACGGCTCGGGACGGCCGGGCGACCTCCGGGAACCCTGTCCGGCGTTTGCGGCTCTTCAACGCTGGACGCGAGACCATGAGAAGTGGGTACCAGCGACTGACACCACCACTGACGCGCGGGTGGACTTGTCCACACGCACCGGGAAGTTCCCCAGTCAGCCCGCTCTGCAGAAACCAGGAAGCATCTTCAAAGTTGGAGCACGGAAAGAGCAGCACGCGAGCGGAAGGGCCTCAGGTCATCCGCACTGGCTCACGCGTCGTGAACGCACCACAAAGAAAGAAGCAACGGTGGGCAGTGACTCAGCGACGCCCCGGCACTCGTGAGATCCGCATTCTTTCTGGTCACGTGTGTCAGAGACCGCAGGAAGAGACTCCACCACCGCCGGTGTGATCGTATTCGTGTCTGAAGGAGCGCCGGTTTCCCCGGTCTGACTGTCACCACAGCAACAGTCAGCGGCTCACACCTCTCGCCGCAGTCGTAATGAACTGCAGGGGCGCGTCACTCAGCGCGACGGACACGTCAGAGGCTGGCTGACGGGACGAGGGAAGACGGCCCGCCGGGGAAGGACGGGTCCCGGCCAGCGATAGGTGCTCCGCGGTCAAGGTCGGTCGACCGGTCGGCGGGTGGTGGTTCATTATTCCACACGGAGCAGACGATTGCTGGTGCCGGAAGCTCGTCAGACCGATCATCGATTTCGGATTCGTCGATAGGAAGCCTGATCAGGAAAGAGGTTGGCAGCGATTTTATCAGAGGTGCCAATCCTGCCTGAGACGCCTGAGGAACTGGTCAGGCCGGGGCATGAAAACATGCATATAGGGCCTTTGACCAAATATAATCTTAAGCGGAAAAAGTCACACAAAAACCATAACACGTTATAAAGCCAGGCCTAAGCACTATCCGCCTGATCGATCTAACGTATCTGTTCAGTTCTCGCCTATCTGATCAGTCCCAGGTCAGCAGCATCATTGAACCCTCAACATGCACGGTGGATTGAGAGTTTACGACGCCCTAACTGGCAGCCTCACGCTATAGCAGCCCTCGCTCTCCGCGCGGACAAAGGCACGCGGGCCGCAGCTCGCGGGCACCGGCGTGCCAGCCGCGCCCCATCGGCTGCCGCAGCGCCGGCATCGGGCGAGCCAGCGCGCTGCAGTCCTCCCTGGCCTCCGGCGGAACACTGCAACTAGCTGCCTGCCCAGCCCGACCCGGCCGTATGTGAACTGAGCCTCAGGGGCGGCGTTCCAGGCAGGACTGGAGGAACGCAGCCAAGCCGGCGGCGGATTCACGGCCTCCCAGAACGCCGTGCCGTCAACCAAGTGAGCAGGCGATTAACATACCGTCTCAAGTGATAGTGGGAACGTTCGCTAGGGAATGTCAGCACCGCAAAAAAAAAAACTGAATCGTTGGTCAAGGATACCGAAGCAGTAAACAAGCCGATCGATGTAAGGACATTCAAAGGAGATGTGCCCAAAAATAAATGATAAAACTTCTAATAACTACACCTCTCCTATCCAAATTCCAAACATATGTCAGGGTGCCCTCCAAGCGCAGCTTGCAGTAGGTGGTCCATTGCAACGGTTCGCTTGCATGTACAACCCTCAGCAGACCGCGTGGTAGGTATTCTTTTTCCGACAAAACTGATAATTATTCAAAAGCCATGTTATCAGTCGGTCGAAACTCACTGTAAATAGATGCGCCAGGCTCCACACCTTCGATTGGGCCTATCACTAAACAAAGTATACGCCTTGTGTGGCAACAAAATGTAGAAGTTCGTTTTGGGGGTAAATATAAACTTTTGGGTTTTGTTGCCAACCTGGATGGAAAATACATACGGTGATGATGCCAATCTAAGCTGCGGAGTCTCGCACATCTTGCTGTTACGATTTCCGAGTGGCCCGCGTTATTCTCGGTTTTGTCGAAAAAAAGAATACCTACCACGCAGTCTGCAGAGGGCTGTACCTGTGGCTGATTGGTGGTGCTGGTGGTGTTTGGTGCTGGGAGAGTAGGGTCTCCGTACCTGCTGCAGATGGATGATGCTGCAGGAGTGGAGGCCTCTGTACCTGTTGCAGGTTGGTGGTGCTCGGAACATTGGTGGTACTGGGGGAGCACTTGCCGCTGTTATGGGTAGGATAGCTCTGGGAGCTCCGTACCTGTTGCACGTTGGGGTGCTGATGCAGGTGCTCTGGTGCTAGGGGAGTGGGGTCTTCGTACCTTCCGCAGGCTGGTGGTGCTGGGGAGTAAGGACTCTGCATTTACCTTCTGCAGGTTGCTGGTGCTGGAGGAGTAGAGTCTCCGTACGTACGTACCTGCTGCAGGTTGGTGGTGCTGGTGCTGATGTTATTTGGTGCTCGAGGGGTACGGTCTCCGACCTCCGTACCTGTTGCAAGTTGCTGGTGCTGGGGGAGTAGAGTCTCCGTACGTACCTGTTGCAGGTTGGTGTTGGTGGTGCTGGTGCCCTGTGGTGCTGGGGAGTGGGGTCTCCGTACCTGTTGCAGGTTAATGGTGTTCGGGGAGTAGGGTAGTGCTGGGGGAGTAGAGTCTCCGTACGTACCTGTTGCAGGTTGGTGGTGCTCGGCGAGTAGATGCCGCTGCTGTGCGGCGCCTCCACCTCCTCCCGCTTCACCTGCGACGGGTGGTGCTCCGGCACCATCCGGACCTGACGGGCCACACAGAGAGGGGAAGAAGGTGTCAAAACACGGCTGCGAAAGCAAACCCCACCCCACCCACACATACACACACGCACAACTACAGTTCTCTTATAGTGGCATCAGTTCCGATCGGACCAGGCAGAGACAGTCCGGTCACCGACAACAGGTAAAACTTAAACCGCTCCCTGACGACTGCTGTCCCGTTTATCAATTCGCTCATCAGTCAGATTGCAGCTCTCTACAAATTACCCGACTCTGATCCATACGATGCATTGATTATCATCTCTAGCCCGGTCCGTAACTCAGTCTCGGTCTCAGGCGGGTGTAATGCAGCCCATTTCTATTCGGGACAACGCGGCACGAGCCGGTTGCACGTCTCGGCAAGGCACGGGACTCGCTCTCGGCACGCGATGCACGCGCCACGGGCCTATTTCGTTAGCAGCACTGCCGCCTGTCTGTCCAGCGCATTAGCCTAACTGAATATCGGTGCCTCGGATATTCCGCGGGAGGCAGAAAGGACTATGACGTCAGCCTCTTCAATAAGAAACGTCACTCAAAGCGGAAGATAGGTATAGCGAATCACGTGCCAGAGTAGAACACCACTCTTCACTCGTCACATCATCCATCGGCAGTATTGTTCGAGCCGTTCGAGCAATGTTGGGTCAATGTTGGCGCATTTGCAGTGCTTTGATGTAATGCTAACTGAGAGCTTTGCATCTGAATGTCGGCTCAAACAATGCCCCAGCACTCAGGGAAGACACACAAACAAAGGAGTACCCATTGTTTTACAGACTTAACATCGCTGCATGATGCTCAGAATGCAGCTGTTTTTCGCCACCATAGAGTGGCATCCTCCAAGTTAATGCCTAGCGATGAATCTGCAAACACTCCAAACATAGGCCTCCAACCCACAATTATCATCCATCAATTTGTAACTGATGAGCGAGCAACCAGGTCAATGCTTTCTGTCACTGGTCGATCCATTCCGCGTGCGTTAATATTTCACGACAGCCACTTTTTCGTGAGTGCGTGGCGTGATCGCTGCCTTCCTTTCCCGTTAGCGACCCTGACCCTTGCAATCGCTTCTGGTATCATCAGTGTCATCATTCACCACTCAACACGCGTCACTGTTCCGTCAACACTAGCTTCTGACTCGGTTACCGCAAGCATTCATCATCCTCGCACAACGCAGCAAAATCCCTGCCGATACTTCCGCCTCATCATTCGCCACCGCGGTTCCGTTCCGGAGTCGGTGTTCCGCTTTGTTTGTGGCTCGTGCGTGTGCAGAGACCTGTCTCGCCCGTGACCTCAAACACTCACCGCATGTTTGACACGGGCCGACATCTGGGTCGAGCGGTGACATGCGGGAGGAGGAGGCGAGCGTCACTGGCGGAGAGCGCTAGGGAGTGCCAGGGTGACGAGAAAGCGCCCCAACCGCGATCTTCCACCAGTGACTCACCCGCAGCTCAACAAAGGAGTCGGAAACAGACAGACAGACAGTCCCGCCAGTGGCCGGCGGACACGCCTCCACGAAAAAAAGGCCCGCTTTGTGCAGCGCCGTGCCCGTGCCCGGCTGTCCACCCGCGTGGCGCCCCGCGCCGAGCTACCCTGCGCCGAGCCCCCGCTCCGCAACAAAGACCGGCACACGCGGAGCCGTTCCGCGTTTCTTGCTCGCGCGGAGGATTCCCAGTGCCAGCGCCGCTCCCTGGCGGGTACATCAGAGGGGCTAGCGCTGCCCTGTTGGCGAGCCGCCCACCGGGCCACGGTCAGTGTCGGCCCCGCGTCAGTTCCTAGAGGCCCTTCTGCGCCTCGACCGCGTTACTCAACACCCAAAACATCGCCGCGAGACGGCCGATATCTGCCGGGCACGCGTCGGGAGTCGGGGCGACGCACCCGCGCCGCTGGGGGTCTCTGAGAAACCCGACGGCGGAGGGAGAAGGAGGGGCCGGTCGGGCTGGCTCAGATCCGTCTCCGCCGGTCTCCTCTCCCGCTGTGTGCCACACGCACACCCTACCGCCCACTCGCGACACACACGTGCGTGCCCCTCCGCTCCCCACCTACCCCGTCGCGTGGGAATTGCAGCAATGACAAACGCAAGATGCAAATTAACGGGGCTGTAGATGAAGGCGGCTGAACAAACTGGGACGCCTGGCTTACAGGATTACTGCGGCGCAATGCGAGCCGGGACCGCTGTGCGCCGGGGTCTGACGGCAGCGGGGCGACACGGGGTGTGGGTGGACCCGCTTCAGAGGACCGTGTCCCACCGGTAACACACACCTAGCACCGTTCGATAGTATCGTGAGACGGGAACAAGACTCCCGGCCGCGGCGTGCCCCCGCCCGGGTCAGAGGACTTTTGACGAAATGGACCTGCGAGGCTGCGGGTGTGTTGACCCCTTCCTTGCAGACGCTGAAAGTTGGTCGAGAAACTCGGCGGCGAACTTCAGTGACTGACAGAGACCGTTATACGGGATTTATAGGAGCAGTTTCACACGCGTCTCGTGGAGGACTTTGCAAGCCGATCCTTTTATGATGCAACGAAAAAGAATGAATGGAGAAAAGGAGACGGAACGAAATATTATGGGTCACGAAAAAGAAAAATCCAAGTTGGGAGAGAACTAAACAAAACAAATCAAAACAGTTAACACAACCTCTCAATGTCAGCTGCAAAACCACCTTCCCAGTAGCTTAAAGTCACCGAAGGTGGAAATCCAGCTTTACTCGTGCACGAAAATACCGACATTGGCCGTTACCCCAAAGCATTTGCCCATCAGGACGGCACTCATATGATAAATAGTACCTATGTAACTAATTACGACAAACGTCATGCCCTCTCAAGCAAATGAGTACGTGCGGAAGAATTAATCGCCAGAAAGCCGCGCACATCGTACTAGAAAGACGTGCGACAGAAATAATCACCACAATGCCCCGTGATATTCGTGCACCATACACCGTACAGTCTGTCTTAAAAGTACCGCGCAAAGTGACGGTGGATCCATCAAGCCTGACCGAGGAAGGGCCTGCTTTAATTTGAAGTCACCGAGCCAATTGATCTGGGGAATGGACGAGAATGTCAATTGCTTCGGTGACTCAAATTGACCTGGGGAATGGACGAGAAGGTCAATTGCTTCGGTGACTTAAATTTAGCAGGCCTTTCCTCGGTCAGGCTTGATGGATCCACCGTCACTTTGCGCGGTGCTTTTAAGACAGAATGTACATACACCGTACACTCCCAATGTAGTACAGTCGGTTCGTCAACTTCGGTGACATCACAAGAACTGGGAAAGGTAACGGTACAATGGTCACTGCGACCCCTAGGTGTCCTTCGCCAATCCATTAATAGCACAGGAAATGACACGGACATGTCGAAGTTCATTGGAAGTTAAATGAATAGGCAATACAGGCATAGGCGCCGGAACGGGGGGAGGGGCAATAAGGCACCGTGCCCCCTTTGATTTTTGCATTTTAACATTAGCCCTATGGGCGTTGCATGGAAAGAATGGGATCAAAAGTCGCCAGTGCCCCCCCCCCCCTTAATTGAAGGTATTTCGGCTCCACCGCCACTGATGGTAATAAGAAACAAGACGATATGCTAAAAATGGTGGAACAGTTCAGACAAGGATTAATTACAACAAAAAACAATTTGAGAAAATAACCTACCAATACTGATATCAGAGACGGTTAAATTAACGGGCTTATATGAATTATGGGGCACTGGAGAGACAAACTAAAAATAACAGTCTGAAACGGTGGCTCATCGCAGAGACAAATTATGCAATTGCATTGTCAATATCACATGAAAAAAATGCAATCAACACCTCATTTTCTGGCACATCTGAGATGGGGTTGTTGAACAATTACCAGCATATCCATTAAACACACATAACGATGCCTCTCTAGCCCAACCGAACTCACTAATTACGTCTGTTTATTTACATTTTTGCAGCCAGCAGACAGTCCTACCATGCATACAACATTCACTAGGAATGCCACAATGCCAACGAAGCCAGAGTGGGAGCGAGATGAACCAGCTACCCATCAACACGGCAGACCATGGAATGCAGTGGAGGGATTTCAGATGCAGCTAGTCGTGGGTGTGAGCATCGTGAGTTTATTTACTCATTACGGGGTCCCGATGAGCAATTAGGTACCCGACCCCAAAACAGGACACTGTGATAAATGACCCAGGGGTTGTAGTTGTCTTCGATTTGTGCCTTGCTGTCATAATACCCACTGACTGCAGCTGAGGCTCGTCGTTTTGAGTGACGACATTACCCGAACACCAGCGCGGCGGCGGCAGCACCTGCCAGCCGGCTGATCTGTCTTGCCATACCGCTCCTACCTACCGGGCTAGCCAAGGCCAAGGTCTCGGCGCGCCAACCGCCCGGCCCCAGGATCGATAATGGCTCGACCGGCCCGCCAGCCAACTGTGGTCCCACATGGTCCAATCCGGTCCGCAGCAACCCCCCTCCCCCTCTCCGGGACCCGCCATGGAGGGGCGGGGCGGGCCAGTCTGCCCGGCAGTCATGACCAGTTTGAAATCCGGGGTGGGGCGGGCCCAAACGTCCCGTTGTCAGGACCAGTGAAAGGTTCGGTTCCGATATAGGCTCTTATGTGAAAAAGTAGGCGGTAGGTCGGGCCCGACGGCATTTGCGGGTACCCTAGCTCAACCATTTACGCCAGAATTGGGAAACAAACGAGTGTATCGTCACACTGATGCCCTGTTATACATAAATCCTACCCATCGATTTTGAATCCCGCTACCGCCTACAGCTCGTCTGAAGTGAAAATCACGATTATTACTATTTGATACAGTTCGGATTGAGGATTCTTCAGAAAATGCTCGCCTTTACCGTCGCAAAGTGCAGCAGATAATGCCCATTTCCCTGACGTAAATTGCCCACAGTGCGGTCAGACCACGGTGAAGGTTAGGTCAGACAAGGTCGGCGCCGTTCGCGTGTACGTCCGTCAGACGCCAGACGCACGGCCGTGCCACGCCCCGGACCACG